GAATGATAGTCCTTTGGAGAAGGAGAAAATGGATTTGAATACTTTGAATGATGAAGAGAATTCTTTCGAGAGGGAGCAAGAACAATTGAATGCTGAAATTGAGGGGGAGCATGTTGTTGAAGGGGAGCATTATGTTGATGACGCATGTTCGAATGCAGGCTCAGAATATGATGAAATATTCAAAGATACTCCTTTGGAATTTGATCCAACATATCCACCCATGGAAAAATGGACTAGAGACCATCCGAAGGAACAAGTGATTGCGAATCCACAAGGAGTGTTAACAAGAACTCAAATTCGTGCAAAGAATGAGATATTGAATACTCATCAAGAATTTTATATGTTTAATGTTTTCATTTCTAAAATTGAACCAAAAACAGTTAAGAACGCAATGGAACACTCAGATTGGGTTGTTGCAATGCAATCAGAATTGTCTGAATTCGAATGAAACAAGGTTTGGAGATTAATTCCTAAACCTGAAAATGTTTCGATTCTCGGGTTAAAATGGATTTTAAAAAATAAAACCGACAAAGATGGAAACATTATTCTAAATAAATCCAGACTTGTTGTAAAAGGCTATTCACAACAAGAAGGAATCGATTATGAAGAAACCTTTGCCCCTGTCGCAAGACTCGAGGCGGTTCGAATATTTCTGGCTTATGCAGCTCACAAAGATTTTGATGCTTATCAAATGGATGTGAAATATGCATTTCTTAATGGAGAGCTTAAAGAAACGGTTTATGTGGAACAACCCCTAGGTTTTATTAACAAAGAATTTCCTAATCTTGTTTATATTTTAGATAAGGCAGTTTATGGTCTAAAACAAGCACCACGAGCATGGTATGCAACACTTACATTATTTTTGAAAAAATCTAAATTTAAACAAGGTTCTATTGATCCCACACTATTTCAAAAGAAAGTAGGGAATCATCTTATGCTTGTTCAAATTTATGTTGATGATATTATTTTTGGCTCGACTGACCCTACTTTGTCTAAAGAATTTGAAGACTTGATGAAAAGCAAGTTTGAAATGAGCATGATGGGAAAAATTAATAATTTTCTTGGATTGAATATGCATCAAAACAGAGAAGGGATTTTCATCAATCAGGAAAAAGATACGAAAAATCTGCTTGAAAAGTTTGGATTGACGAATAGCACAAAGCTTCGTGTACCAATGGCAACAGGCATAAAGTTAACACCATCGTTAGACAAACCTGCTATTGATTTAACGTTGTGTAGAATCATGATAGGTTCGTTACTTTATCTTACAGCAAGTCGACCTGATATCATGTTTTCTGTGTGTAATTGTGCTAGGTATCAGCCTAATCCATGCGAACCACATCTTACTGCTGTGAAGAATATTTTTCGTTATCTTAAAGGCACTATTTCATTAGGATTGTGGTATCCTTCGAAAACAGGCTTCTCTGTTCAAGCATACTCAGATGCAGACTTGGGTGGTTGTAATCTTGATCAAAAAATACAAGTGGTGGATGTTAATTACTTGATGGAAAATTAGTCAGTTGGCAGTCGAAAAGGTAAACATGTGTGTTGATTTCCATGGCTGAAGCAGAATATGTGGCTGTTGCTACATGCACTTCGCAAATAATATGGATTCAAAGTCAATTACGTGAATACGCAATTAATACGAAAAAGATTCCATTATATTGTGATTCTCAAAGTGTAATAAGAATTTATCATAATCCTGTGCAGCATTCGAAGACTAAACACATAGCTCTTCGCTATCATTTCATTAAAGTCACGTGGAGGATGGAAATATTGAAGTTCATTTTGTGAAAACTACTGATCAATTAGCTGATATTTTCACGAAAGCCTTGGATGAAAAGTCTCTACTGCAAATAATAGAAGGTCTTGGAATAATCGATGGCAATTCTGTTTTGTGCGAAAAAGATGAATACTAAGCGAAAAATAATGAGTAAGAGGCGATGAACAAAGTTATTTAGCATTCAGCGGTTACTGTTCATAGTCAACGCTTCGACCGCTTCGAATTCGCATGATTGTCACTGATCTTTAGCGTTGCATCAATGGTTACTGTTCATAGTCAACGCTTCGAATTCGTACATTTGTTACTTTTCAAAGAATGTCAAATTTTGTTTGTTTGCAACACATCAAAAACACAAAAAGTTTTCTTTTGTTTTGTCTTTAACTTTTCGGAAAAAAAAAATTAAAAATCGAAAAAGATTTTCTTTTGTTTTGTCTTTGAAATTTTTGAAAAATTAAAAAAATTCAAAAAGATTTTCATTTTTTCTTGTCTTAATTTTCGAAAAATTCAAAAACAACAAAAATATTTTTCATTTTTTTTTTTGAGAATTTTGTTACAGATATTGATGATGATTTGGAAGGGAAAAAGCAGGCAGTATTAGGGACAGGTAAATTTTTTTTTCGCATGCATCACTATCTTTTTCATTATTCAAATTAGTTAGGTTGTCCCTAGAAGCATGCTGTTGCATGTCGACCAAAGCCTCCATGACTCAATGTGTGTGTACAAAAGCCTTAATGAACTTTTTCATACGGAAAATTCTTCCCAATCAGGCTTATATTCACATTAGTCTCTGAGCTACCTTCCTCTTCTCACAATGAGTTAAGAGTTTTCTGTTTGGTCCAAAACATAACAGAGGTACTTTTCATGTCTTACACCAATCTTTTTCATCAATACATTCTTACACTATCACACACAAAGACGTATGTTCGAGAGGTCTCTGATCAAACCCATCGAGACTTAGACATATAAAAATTATGTGTTAATGATCTAACATCATGAGTCCATGATGAAAGTGAAACCCAAACATCTTGAAACTTAAGGAATTCCCGAGGAACATTGTTCCAGATATTAACGAAACTTTTGTTTCTGCACCCAAATTCGAAACTCCAAATCATATTCATTTCGAATGCGTGGTCTTGATCAAACATTCGAAACCCAAGATGTTTGTTACCCAGCAAGATCCAGAACATAATTTTTTTTAATATGATTTCAATGTGAGTTTCATTCGAATATCCTTGTCATGATCATAATTTTCAAAGCCAACTTGTCACTAACTACAGTGGTCAAACAAGTAATTTTTATTACAATTTATCACCTTATGTTTAGGTTAATATGTAACGAAATTTTTAAACCAACCCAAGAATTACTTTTAAAACAAGCCCTTTGATGCTTATCAAAAAGTAGTCGATTGTACTTCACGAGAACATACACAAGCTGTTGATCATCTCTCTTGATGATTAACAAAGCAGCCTTTGTCTGGGGTTTAACTGCATTCGTGTCAAATTGCCTTTTTGACATCACTACATTCCAAAAATTTTTAATTGTTTCTTGTCTAACTTTTCTTTGGCACACTACACACACGAAATCCTTGAGGTTCTGAGTAATACCAACTCAGGATGATGATTTCGAACATCTGGCATATGACTTTGATTTTCATCCCAAAAGTGAAAGAGCCCTGCCTCCATTCGAAGGGTTCTTCTGGTTACTGTTTAATAAAGGGGATAGTGACAAGCTATGTAACCGTGACGTACGGTATTCAACCCGGTTTTCTAGGAGATGTGACAGACGCTTTTTCACGCATGGCTAACTTACCGCAGAACTGGTCCGATTTTCAAGGTGCCACATTGGATTTCATTAAATGCATCCCGCTTCAAATTCAAATCATCCAGCGTTACATATAAAAGGGGGTTCAGAGTACATTCTATGTTTACACGATCAAACACTCCTAAATTCCCAAAATTCTCTGTTTTTCATCTTCTTCAAACCCTAACAATGGTGACTACTTCTCATATTAATGCTTCCACCGAAGATACATCTTCAGTACCAGTTATGAAGATTCAATCTACCAACTATTATGTAAATGGTGAACTTTCACATTGTCCGGAGAAATTCAAAATGCTGATTGTTGCGTTAAAACACTCTGTTTTATCAAAAGCAATGTTCAACTCTTTTTCTGTTCCATTATCCTAGCTTTCTCAAGCAGGATCAACAGCTACCTACAATAAAGCCACTGATTCGATTACCTTTCTTTTAATCAATGATAAGAAGGTTAGGCTTTCCAAGAAACTGTTTTGCCAGATTCTTGATATTCCAAATACACCTCCGTTTCTTGAATTTCAATTCTCTCAAATCAAACACATGTTTAATGAAATGGGATATCAGCCCCATTGTCAAAGATCAGTGATTTTAAGAAGTCTGGTCTTCCAAAAATATGGAATTTTTTGTTTGGAATATTTTTGCGTTGTCTAACCAGAAGAACAGTTGGCTTGGATAAAGGATGAATGGAGATATATGCCATGGTGACTGGTCTGTACTATGATCTTCCTACTGATTATTCAACACAGCTTTGGCAGGAGTTCCATAAAGGGGTAGAACACACAAATGTTGTCCATGGCATTTCGTGTGCTCGGTAGTAGAGTCTTATTTACAACATTTGTACAACAAGGAGGGTATTTTGGTCTCTACTAAAGAAGAAAAGGTTACTTTTTAGTCTTATCATTTTTCAAAGGAGGTTGTTGATGATGCTGATGAATTCCCAAGTGTTGCTCGGATTCCCAATGCAATGCTTAAAAGAGTGGATCCTTCAAATCCTGTCTTGCAAGCATATGTAAAAAGTTTCGATTCTTCTATTCCTACGGGAATTTTATTACCACGCGAAGCGAAGAAGTCTAAGAAATCGAAGAAGGATGAGCCTACTTCTCCTGCGAAGAAAGCAAAGGGTTCAACCTCATTCAAATTCACAACGCAGAAGCAATAAAATGTTGTTGTGACAATCAAAGCAACAACAGTGATTACACCAGTTGTGGAAGAGTCACAAGAAAATGTGGTGATTCCTTCGAAAACAGGGATATTTCAAAGAATAAACATGAAATCCAAGCACAAACTCAAATCTTCATCTAAGAAACTGCTTCGCAAACCTCAACTTTCTCATCAAGGAGTAATGTTTCGTGAGGTTCATGTTCCTGTTTCTCCTGCATCATAGAAAAGGGCAGCCGAATATATGGTGAAACATTTATCCCAATCAAAGAAGAAGAAGACGAATAAGGCTCAGAAGATTGTTTTATCCAGTGAGTCTACTGAAGAGGATGAGCACGTACCAGAAACTCCATATGTCACCTCTATTCTTAGAAGCTCAATTCCAGAGACCACTGTCATATTCACCGCTGAAGTTTCGATTCCCAAGTCACTTGTTGAGGAGGTACGAACTTCAGGCTTGGGTGAAAATGTTTCGAAGGATGCAGCTCAAGGTCCATTTATATCTACTCCTTTTGAAACATTTGTTTCTGTTCCACCAACATCAACCATTCCTCCTACTTCAACTACTATATCTCCAACCTTTGAACACATCCTCAATCATACAATCACTTCCATGTTCTCCTCTCAATCAACTGATACCCCTAAACCAACTTCACCCACTGAAACTGATCATGAAGGGTTTGGAGGAACATTTGAGGACTTGGAATTTCAAGATGACAAAGAAGATTTCCCTGATCACATGATCATGACCATAAAACAATACAAGATTTTGAATCAAAAGTTGAACTCCATTATTCAATCTCAAGCTGATCTTGGAGGAGGTTCATCCATTTCTAGTTTGGAGGTTGATTCAATGTTAAAGGTGTGTGAGTCCAGAATAATTACTAAAGTTTCAGGGATGTTAAAGGCTTCAGAGACTGTGCTTATGGAGAAGGTTGACTATTCAGATCAAACAACTGAGCTATGTCTAAAAAATCAAAGATCTGATTTTCTGGGAGAAGTGAAAGAAGGTTAGAGAAGATGTGAATTTGAAAATTCAAGAGCTTCATGACGAAATGAACAAAGAAATTTTATTTGTTCAATATGATTATGCGTCCTTACATCAGAAGGTCAATATCATATTTGATGCTGTGACAAAGTTCGTTAAAATGTATGAAGGTTTGAGTCCACAAATTGCTCAAATCTCAAAATCTGATGCTGAAAATTTGAAGGAGTGATGAAGTTGTTGCAAGAGCTAAAGGAGATATCCACAAAACTAGCTTCATCTCCCTTGATTACTAGTGAATTTTTTTCACAAAAAGTTGTTCAATTTGAAGCCATTCTAAACAAGCAACTTGCTCCACCCTTTCGCATATTCAGTCTTCTTCCCACAACAATTGCCCCTCCTGTTTTCACAGGGGTGCAGGGGGGAGAAAGGAAGTCAATAGAAGAAGAAATGAAAGTTGTGGGCAAGGTATTTGTCACACCCCAAAACCAATAATGGCGGAAACGTTCTAGTGACCCGTTTATTGGAGCAGATCCGAGAGGCCCAATAGGAGGCTATGAAGGAGGAACATCAGAAGAGTGAATGTATGGTGGGTCAGGTTTCCTCCTTCAACTATGACAACAGGGGATTATTGACACTACACTGCAGGGTGTAGGTTCCATACCTCGGAGGCATGTTCCAGGTTCTTGTGGAGGAGGCGCACAAATCTCGATTCTCCATTCATCCCGGGGCGACGAAGATGTATAGGGATCTTCGTCTTGATTATTGGTGGCCGTGCATGAAGCGGGATGTAGCATGGTATGTGGAGCGGTGCTTGACCTGCAGGAAGGTCACGGCCGAGCACTAGAGGCCACACGGCAAGATGTAGCCATTGGATATTCACTTGTGGAAGTGGTAAGATATTACTATGGATTTCATCACCAAGCTTCTAATCACCAAGCTTCCCAGGATAGAGAAGCTGGCTGATATCTATATTCGAGAGGTAGTGGCTCGACACAGGGTGCCAGTCTCTATGATTTCTGATAGGGATGTTCGATTCACTTCCATGTTTCGGAAGAAATTCCACAATGAGTTGGGTACTCGTCTGCATTTCAGAACCGCCTTTCAACCGCAGACGGATGGCCAGGGCGAGCAGACCATCCAGACTTTGGAAGATAGTTGTGGGAGTGTGTGGCAGATTTTGGTAGTAGTTGGGATACTTACCTTCTGTTGGCTGAGTTCTCCTACAACAACAGCTACTAAATGAGTATCAATCGTCCTCCCTTTGAGATGTTATACGGGAGGAAGTGTAGAACCTCGATATGCTAGGGCGAGGTTGGCCAGAGGGTCATGGGGAGCACCAAAGTAGTGCTCAAGACGACAGAAAGGATTCGGCAGGTCAGGAGCAGACTTCAAACTGCACAGAGTTGGTAGAAAAACTATCCCGATAAGTGTCGTTCAGACCTGGAGTTCCAGGTCGGGGATATGGTTCTCCTGAAGGTGTCGCCTTGGAAAGGCGTCATCCGATTCATGATGCAAGCCAATTAGGGCCCGTGTCTATTGGACCTTTCAAGGTTATAGTCCAGGTGGGCAGGGTGGCGTATTGGCTGGATCCCAGCCGAACTCATCCAGATTCATAGCACCTTCCACGTCTCCCAACTATGGAAATGCTTGGTGGATGACTTGGGTTGTGGTGCCCCTAGAGGATATTTAGGTTGATGACAGTCTGAACTACATTGAGCGGCCTGTGGTGATTTTCAACCGAAAGTTGAAGGATCTGAGGAACAAGAAGGTCGCGTTGGTGAAGCTGCAAAGGCAGCATCGGAAGGGTTCAGAATGGACGTGGGAGCCGGTAGATGAGATGATGGGGCACTATCAAGAACTCTTCCAAGATCGAACAGCAGACTTCGAGGACGAACTCTAAAATAAGCGGGGGAGATTTGTAGCACCTAGTTCCTGGTATGTATCTATTTCTAGTAACTTGTATTTTGGCCTTAGACTCGGCGAGTTGAGGTCCAACTTGTCGAGTCAGAGCGTATTGAACACAAAAGTTTAATGACCTACTCGACAAGTCCGCGAATGGACTCGGTGAGTAGGCGCTGTTCGGACAAAACCCTAGATGCGGGTTTTCACCCTATTTAAACCACTTATTCATCCTTCCTTTTGTCCCAATGCTTCCATAACTCCCCATAGCAAACCCTAGCCATTTATGAGAAGAGCTAACGCATTTTTGGTGGATCTTGCTAGTTGTGACCATAAAGAAGAATGGAAAGGCTTAAGGAAATAAATGAAGACCAAGCGCACCCGAGTTTGTGCATCTTCCACAGTTCATTGGAGGCATAATGTTGTAAACTTGCTCTTTTATTTGTTAGATCCCTTTTTGGGGAGATTTAGGGCTTTTATAAGCCATTTTTGGTGACCATCCATGATTGCAAGCATGGTTGGGGGTTGAGACTCTAGAATGAAGCCATTAAGGGAGTCACAAGGCAGTTAGGGGTTGCTTTTTCACCCATCAAAGGTCCCATGCATCATAAGAGCTTATTTTATGACCTTTTGAGCTCAAAGTACCATGCATGCATGTAAAGTTTGTAACTTTACATGCTAGGACGATTAAAGGAGCTTAGATCTACCTTTTGGTCAAGAGTTGTACTCTGGAAATCAAGATATGAGACTTGGACATGGCAGACTCGATGAGTCGTTTTAGGGACATGGCGAGTCCGAGGCAAAACTCCCCTTTTCAGTTAAGGTTTCAAGGAACCCAATTGAGCACTAGAAGGGTTTTTAAAGGATCGAAGGGAGCAACCCAACATATTGGACTTATCCTTAGATCGGGAGTTCATTGGACGCGACGAGTGCAAGAACGGACTCGGCGAGTCCAAGGCAATCTCCTTAAAGTTGAAGATGAACTCGAAGAGTTGTTCATACAACTCAGCGATTCGAATGAAGGATCATTCCATGTTCTTATAGAAGGGGAACTCTTCGAGTCGTTGCTAAACTCGACGAGTAAAGATGTGCATAAGGATGAGTAATGAGTTAGGGATTCGATGAGTTGGCGGGCCAACTCAGCGAGTTGGGTCAACTGGAAGTTGACTTTAACTTGGACTTGGTTAGGGGTAAAATAGTCATTTTACCATAAAAGCAGATATCAGGTTCTAACTGAGTGTTTTGTGGGATTATAGCCGGAGGGTTACCGGAGCAGCAGTCAGACAGTTGTCGAGCAGTTTTCCAACAGTCAACCTTACGAGGTGAGTTACTTTCCAGTAGCGGTCGGTCTACAGCTACGATGCCGCCCCACTAATAAGAGTTGTATGTGAGATGATGGTCTTTTTGATATTCATGTAGGCTTACTACTACCTGTTATGTTTTATGTGCTAGCATATTATGATATTATGTGACAGTAGTAGGGATGAAATAGCCCCCGACTATCGGTCGATAGGACTGCAGGGGTACTTTAGCACCCAGCCATTATGGCCAATTTATGATATATGTGATATGATATTGTGTGGTAGTAGTAGTAGGGGTGAAATAGTCCCCAGTTACCAGTCGGTGGGACCGAAAGGGAGGCCAGCACCAACATATGCTAGGCAGTATCCGGTCGACAGGACCGAAGCGGAGGGTAGCACCCATATATGCTACGCATTATCAGGTCGACAGGGCCAAAGGGGTAGGTCGGCCACCCATATATGCCTAACAGTATATGCATGATATATGATTTTATGGTATATGGTATGATGGGGGAACTCACTAAGCTTCATGCTTACAGTTTTCAGTTTTGTTTCAGGTACCTCTTCAGCGAAGGGGAAGGAGCCGACGCAGTAGCTGAACATCATACACACACCTCAGATTCTGCATTATGAGTTTTCCTTGGGATTGTACTCTGATATTATCACTATTTTATGAATTGGATTTTCAGACATTATGTATAGTTTTATGAGATGTTAAGATTTGACAATGTTTTCCTATTAATGTTTTAATTAAAGTAATTTATAAAAATGAAATTTTTGGATGTGAAAATTGGGACGTTACAAGTTGGTATCAAAGCCCTAGTTTGAGGGATTCGAACACACCCTCAGGGGTGTGTGTACTCTAATCAAGGGATTAAAATCTTTTACAAAAAAAACTGGTTTTCTAAATAATAAGTTAAAATAGTTTTGAGGAAGAACGAAGTGTGTGATGTGCGCAACCGGCCGAACTCAAGTAAGTTTTCCCAAAGTACCCATAAAAGTTTATGTTATGTTTATCAGCTTCAACAGAATAACATGCTACAATAGGACTAAGGATCTAGGGATGATGCCTTATTTGCATGCTTTATGTGTTCAGCTTATGTAAATTACATGCTAGTATTGAGTAGACAGCAGTATGATAGCTTGTTTATTTTACGCCTGATAGTATGAGCTTAGAATTGTATGCTAGTATAGTTTCCTATTATGAGGATAGGATTGCTTGAGGACGTTCCTTTTTATCCAAATGCTACTTGCTTTGTGCTTTGTGGGACTCGGAGTGATGGGAGTTAGCTATTAGGTGAATACCCTAAAGTCACATGTGATCATGGTTAGATAATCTTAGAGGATTGGATTTGACCCTATTTTGCAGCTCTTGTTTGAGTCCTAACCGTTGTAGGGATAAGTCCCTTACTCGAAGGATTATCCGGGCCTTGTTGCATGTGATTGTATTCAGGTAATAGCTAATTGGCATTACAAAGAGGCATTCAGCAGCTGAGGACTGGTTTGGGTGGAGATAGAGGTACCCTAGGGTGAGCCTAGGATGAGAGTAGCAGAGATCAACAGTGGTAGTGACTTGGTTGGGTCAAGGCGGTTCTTGAGGAAAGTACGGATATATGTGGAAGGTAGTATGGGCCCGTACTACTAAAAGAAGAGGATCCGTACTTGAATCAAGGAAGGTCAAGGCAAGACCAAGGAGCTTGTGATGGATGTGATCTGTCTAGATGTATCAGTATCACTAACAGTTGTCATTATGTATTGCAGAATGGTGGTGCTACGTCCGAGGCCTACAGTTGGCAAATCAGGAAAGGGATTGGGTTCAGGTTCAGGTACCGAACCAGTGGATGAGATATTACGTGAGTTCATCAAGGAAGGGATTGTCGAGCTGATGGAGGAATCCTTGATGCGACCCCGGGCATCTTTGAGTCGATCAAGGAAGGGATTGTCGAGCTGATGGAGGATCACCTCCAGGTGTTCAGGAGTGACATGGTTACCACTCAGTCAGGATCATGCACACTATTCTTTAAGGACTTCAAGGGTAGTGGTGCACCGGATTTCCATGGGGAGAAGGACCCCATTGCTGCCAGGTGATGGATTGCAGACATGGAGTCTACACAGTTGACTAGCTTCTGCCTAGAGGGGTCGAAGGTGAGATATGTAGCAGGGTGTTTGAGGAACAGGGCCAAAGATTGGTGGGAGTCGTTTGGTGACTTCCTGGGAGCTTTGGTTGTTGAGGGTATGACATGGTCGGATTTTGTGACCCAGTTTAGAGATGAGTTCGCGCCTGCGGTGGAATTCCAGCAGTTGGCCAGTGAATTCCTGGATATAAGGCCGACGACTGAGTCAATGGTGAAGATTATCGCCACGTTTCGAGAGAGAGCCTTATTGGTTCCCCAGTATGCGGGAGACGATGATATGAGGAGGACCTGCTAGCATGATATGTTGCGAGTCGACATTCGGGAGCATGTCAGCTTCTCAGCTTGTCCCACCCTGGATTACATGATTGCCATGGCAAGGGAGAGGGAGATTGATCTGGAGCACATCCGAAAGAGGAAGGCAGAAGAAAGGTAGGTGACTAGGGCTTCGGGGAAGAACCCCAAGGGATCAGATGCTAGGCCGAAAGGCCAACAGAGCCATAGCCATTGTA